GAGGCTGAGGCAGGAGAATGGCGTGAACCCGGGAGGCGGAGCTTGCAGTGAGCCGAGATCTGGCCACTGCACTCCAGCCTGGGCGGCAGAGCGAGACTCCGTCTCAAAAAAAAAAAAAAAAAAAAAAATGCCTAGTAATTGTGAGGCTCCATCTCAGAAACTTTTCGTTTTTCCTTTTTTTCTTTTTTTTTTTTTGCTCTTGTTGCCCAGCCTGGAGTGCAGTGGCACGATCTTGGCTCTCTGCAACCTCCACCTCCCAGGTTCAAGCGATTCTCCTGCCTCAGCCTCCCGAGTAGGTGGGATTACAAGCACCCACCACCACACCCAGTTAATTTTTGTATTTTTAGTAGAGATGGGGTTTCACCATGTTGGCCAGGCTGATCTCAAACTCCTGACCTCAGGTGATCTGCCCACCTCGGCCTCCCAAAACGCTGGGATTACAGGTGTGAGCCACCACACCCAACCTGTTTTTTCTACAAAGGGTTATCTGTTATGTGAATTTAGGAAAGGTAATCCTAAGGCCTATTCACCTAAGAAAAACGAGGCAACCCCAGAGCATGACAGGCTTTCTTGGGCTGGGGGAACTCACATGCGAAAAAAACAGGTTCCCTCATAACCACACTAGAGGCTGCAACCACCTCGGCCCCAGCAAAGGGACACCTCTGCTGGCCAGCATTTCCAACTAAACCTCATCACGACACATCAGGCAGGGCAGAGACCCAAGTATTCACAGAGGGACAGTGACGACTTCTTTTGCACACTTGTGGATTCTCCGTGGCAACCTGTTCCCCAAAAGTGCTGCCTCGGTCAGCAAATCCCAGTGTCTCTCTGGCCAGGCAACAGTCTCTCGTGCTCTGGTCTGCCCACAGCCTCCATGCATGCAGCCCCTTGGGCCTCTTGCTATGGGGCCAGAAGCAGAGCTGTGTCCTTCAGGCTGTCAAGGACCTGGCTAGGGAATCCTCTGGGTGTCCAGGGAAGCAGGTTCAGAAAGCTCAGTTCAGCTGGGGCTGTGTTTTGATCTCTGATCCCAGTGCAGCAGGGACCAGCCCCCTCAACTCAGGGCAGACAGCAACAAACCAGTCACCTCGCCCGAGGCCTCCTGCTGCCTGCCTGCCTGGTGACCAGGACTCCTG